AGATAGAGAGATAGATAAATATAATTTTATTTCGAACATGCAAATATAATTGAAATAACAACAGAAAAAACAAAAAAACAAAAACAAAACTTAAAAATCATCAAGTTTTAAAATGACTGAAGTCAGATAAATTGGACCGACGAATGCCGAAACACACTTTTCCTCTTCAGAGTCAGTCGCTCAGTCCTTCACAGATCAGGGCTCTCAAGACAGTTTGCTATTGGCTACCAGAGCAACATCGCCAAAGTTCAACTCACCTGAATTTACTTGACCCCCTCAGGTAAATCCATTGATTAAAACCGCTTTATTGGAAAGAATTTAACCGAAACATCTCACCCTTTTAAATGCTGGTGTGGCTGCGCTTCTGAACTAAGGAGAGTCTGCAGTGAATTCCCAGCAGTTCCTGCCATTTTATAAAAGAGCAGCCGCAGATGACAAGAATACTAAACAGGGATAAAATGGCAAAACTGGCAAAACTGACTCTCAGGTGGGTTGATTAGCTTGTCAATATGCATTGCTTAAGGATGCCAGAAATGAAATCAGCAGATTTCAAGGTTTCATATGGCCCTTTGTTTTTTCTGAAGTAGCTGAAAGCCTTTGATAAAACTGCAGAGGTTTTGGAACCTTAGTAAGGACAGGACAGGCGTATGTGTAAGAATGACCGATGTTAAAGCTTATGTGTAAACCCTGTTTGTGTTAAAAGATCTGTAATCAGTGATTTCCCCTCATCAGGATGAACACGGGTGTAACTGAGAGCCTGGTGTGAACACAAAGGAGCAACACAAGGTGTCTGCCAGCACCGTGCCAGTGTTGAGTGTTCCTGTCTCCCACAAAGCTGCCTAAAAGAAAATTAAAAACGGCAGCATTAATTAACAGATGAAAACGTTTAAAAAAAAACATGCAAACTCTTGGAGGTGGTTCATCAAACAGCTTCTGCTCCTCTCTGCTCTCGGTTCGCACCTCTCTGCATTAACTAGTAAAGAGTTAAATGCCTATTTCTCCAAAGAGCCACTTCAAAGTCAATAACATCACTCAGACCTTTGGGCCGGGGGAAGCCGAGATCGAACAGCATTTCAAATTATCATAATGAGAAGAAACAAGTGGGAGCGTTAGGCCTGGTCTTCATCACGCCTCGGCAACACAGCTCGTTTGTTTCCTTTTCTCAAACCCAGAGGATGACTAAAGCCTGATTACTGACGCACTTTGACCACCGCTGTTAGTTTGAGACCTTGAAAGAAATCAGGAAATATCCGAGGATGGGAGGCAGCATTTTTCACTCCTTTTAGTGCCTGGTTTTTAATACTGCTCTCTCTGTGCAGATATGAATGCTGTACTATAGCTATGTTTATTTTTTCTCACAGGGTGAAATGTTGATGATTCATAAGTTCTGTACACTCAAAGGAAAACACCTAAAACACTAAAACCATGAGCTGGAGACGCTCACCAGGATATAAATTGCTCCTGTGAGGCAGCCTGAGCCTAAAGCCGCTTCGATTTATTATTTTATTTTATTTCTACTTGATGTGTTTGCAAACTTTGAGGAAAACACTGTATGACTCCCTCTATTTATATGAAACTCCAGCCTGAAATAGTTTGGCTTACTCTTATTTAGTTTTAAAGGGTTACTTACAGCAGCAGGATCCATATGAGCGTCACCAAAGCAAAATGGTTCCCACACATTTGTTATGCTTGGAATACCAAATATAGTGGTATCCT